ATTCTCCTATTAAGGAAGTTTGGTAAAAAGTTCGTTTCATTAAAAAATCAAAATTCATCAACGATTCCTGCAGTAGACTTCGAAACAGCTGAGTGGACACCAGAATTTAATTTGAAACTAGCACCGCTATTTGTTGTCCCATGCCTTCCTAATGATTCAGAATTGGAAAATAAATCCCGAGCTACTTCAACCGAAAACTCCAAAAACTTATTAACACCATTCTCTTATAATGAATTAGAATTGGCATTATCGAAAACTAAGAACTTGTCTCCAGGTTTAGACAATATTCATTATACAATGCTGAGTAACTTCCCTAAGATTGCTAAACAACTATTAAATACCTTAAACAAAATATGGGCTAAGAAACTGGACATTTCAAAGTATTGGTCTGATTATATTATTTTACCCATACCCAAACCAAACGAAATTCCAACTAATGCGGATTCATATAGACCAATAGCACTATCATCTTGTGTTTTAAAACGTATGAAAAAATTATCAAACTTATAGCGCATTCGACTGGTCGCACTGGCGCGTATTTAGTTCGACTTTTTTAAGTGCCATACATTCGACTGGCAGAACTGAACCAATTATTGCATTCGACTGAAATTGCATAACACGAGGTCACAATATTTTTATTCGACTTCTTGCTCAAAGTTTGAATTTTTTTGGAACTATACTTTTTTTCAGTGTCAGCCAGTGCCGATTTAGAGGTTAGGTTTCATTTTCAATTTTTAAATTATGTTCTTTTTTATCTTTATAGGTTGTAAGTAGGTAAGGTAAGGTTTGGCCCAGAACACTGCAGCCTCTTGGGTCTATTGTATTCCCCTGCTTTCCCCGTATTCAGGTACTATCTTTGGAATAGTCCTATGTCTTTGGTTAGTTTTATTAGGATCCCTACCAAGTGTTCCTGGGGCGTTCTTTCCGGTTCGAGGCCGAAAAGGATGAAACGTCGCCTAGTAAGAGCTTCGCATTCAAAGATCGCACTGTTATGAGGTTTCTTCCTCTTCCATGCAAAGTCTACACGTAGTGGAATCATTGTGTAATCTCATCACATTAAGGTTTCAGCAAGCAGTGCCCCGTTAGTAATCCCACAGTGGTGGATATCTGAGGCCTTGCGAGTTGTAGTGCTTCAGTAGCCATGGCTGTCTTTGGCTCCCTTAGCATGAGCTTACTGATTCTGTGCCCTCTTATCCGTTACCAGTGAATTTGGTGTTTTGTGGTTGACTTGACTTATTTCCTTCTTAAATTCTCACGTATACACAATTCGATTGCATGTATTTCAGACGATGATGGCGCATTTGGGTTTAACTCCATGCACTCCAGAGCCTGTTCCCTTGTTAGTTTTAGATCCATCTGTATACCATATGAGACCGCTAAGCGAGTATTTATTTATCTCCTTATTTACCTCGTTCCAGTTACAGTTGACCTGGTACGACCTGGTATGAAGGTATTAATTGCTTAAAGCTAATAACAAAAATAAATAGTTCGTACATTTTGACGGATCGAATTGAAAAATATAGAGTAATTCTGAAAAAGGAATATTTCTTTAATTATTGCTGCATCAAAAACGAATTAGATGTGTCTATATCACCCTGTATTCCATAAACAGTATTGTTTTCTAGGTATTATATGCATAATCAATATTAATAACAAATTCCCTAATATACAGTGTAATTTATTTTTAAAGAAACGCCTTTCTGTGGAATGAATTAACTGTATACATATAATGTAAAATGGGTTTATGTAATGTCAGAACAGTAAACATTATGTAAGTTTTTATTTTTGACCATGTTTTCATTCCATATCAGAATATCTCAGAATTTCAAAAATTCCCCCTGATGTAACTGAGTACCACCCTGTATATGTTTACATTTTGAACTATTTATGTGTACGTTTCCGTTAGACTAGGACATATTAATGCTGCAATCAACTGAAAATACTTTTTTTTTCTTTTTAATTAAGTTATGTAGTTTCAAGAAATACGATTTCTCGACTTTAACACCCTGTATTTTAAAAACTAGTCATATGATTGAATTGGTCCCATGAACACTTTTGGTCAACAAGTCGAGTACATCATATTAAAAATTAATTACATTTGACGGAACGCCACTTTGCCATTAGAAAAGGGTGGGGTCCTTTATTAAAAAACTAATACAAGATTGTAAGTAGGTGAGCTACCCTAAAAATATTGTAAACCTGAAACGAAAAAATAAAGTAAATAATAAAACAAAAAAGAAATGAAGGAAAAAAAGGAAAAAACAAAAAATAATTAAAAACAAAAAAATAAAAGCAAAATAAACAAAAATACATATAATTAAAAAAAAAGGATATTTATATAACGAATTACAAAGTCAGGTATTTTGATAGTTGTAAGTTAAAATATAATAATAATGTAATCATGTGACAATAGTGGATAAAACAATTAAAGAATAATAATACAATAGTCTGGCCTTTCGGTTTTATCCAAAAAAAAGATGTCGCCAATACAAAATAATGCAAAATATTGTATGTTTATTTTCTACTAAAATATACTAAAATTTACGAAAATATACTAAAATACAGGGTGTTACTTAATGATAGAGCGTAATTTCTGAACCAAATTCAAGTAGGTATAAAAGTTTATACATAGATGTCTGACATGTCCTATATAAAATGCAGAAGTCAATCACATTCATCACCCTACAATTTCATAATTATACATTCATTTGTTTAAAAAAAAAATACCTTTTTTTTTCACTACCATGCCAATGGTCGGCCATATTGGTATTTTTTTGACAGGACATATTAAAGTTGGCTAGATACTGCGCTAGTTATCTGTCAAATTTGGTATTTTTTTGAAAAATCGTTCAAATTTTTTTTTAATGCGAATTTGACAGAAAGATATTGCAAGTAGCCGACTTTGATAAGGGCTATTTTAAGTTTTTAAATAAGCAGAGGTGATTGCCATACGTTTTTTGTTTCAATCATAATATTGAAAAAAAAATTCCCATATAGATCCAACTTTACACACATTATATTATTTATTAACAATTTATTGTAGATAAAGATACTGGTCGCGATCGGAATTTTTATATTGGAAATCATCAAGTTGATATTTTATTGACTTACTACTTAGGTACACATTAACAAAAAATCGCTAGCGGTATTGTTCTCATTGTGTTTTCAAAATAAAATTTACATGTTTTTAAAATACGAATAATTTAAAATGGATGTTGTCACTAAATATTGATTTTTTTTACTTACCTACTAAACATGGCAATCTGGTCTTTCTCATGACTGGCACCTTTAATATTTAACCACTCTTCAGGAGAAAACTGTCGATTCATTATCCTGAAGAACTCGCTTAGAGTTTTCCCTCCGGAATATTCAAATCTCATCACATCAACCCCTAGTAATAAATCACCACACTCTCCTACACACACCGTATAATTCCCGTGATGCGATACATTAAAATTAACTTTGGCAACGTTGTTTTCTACAATCGGTTTGTCTCTATCATCGCGAATAAATTTTACAGAATTATAACTTCGATTTAAGGCTTCACTAACGAATTTTCTTGACATTAAGTAACCGACTAAGGAATATTTTAAGTCTTTTTTGAAAACGAACCGATTCAAACGATCTTTTTGATCTGCTTGTATACAGGACGACGCCAAAAGTATTTCCGGTACAGACGGATTCCATTTGGAAATGTCGAAAGCCCATCTTACACTTTTGTTACTCATTTTAAAAGTGTTATTGAATAAGAGTCTTATGAAAATTAAAATTTGTGGGTTTGTTGAGTTTCTCCAATTTTTCACTTTTGTCCACCTAGTCAAAAAGAAATACTGTTTTTGAAACTGGCTTGTATATTTTAAAGGAATATTTAATACCTCATTAAATTGTTAAAACTAATACAAATTAATATTTCATAAGGCATTGAATAAAAAAGAATACAGTTTGGTGTATCTTTAAAATATTATAGTTATAGGTTAGGATTAACTGTACCATAACTGCAATGTTGCCAGATTTATTTAAAAAATTGTAGAATGTACACAAAAATCATAAGTCTATATTTATCTGGTAGATGTAAAGAAAAGAATCATATCTCTCCAGTTTTGTATTAAGTGGAGTGCATTCACTAAAATACATAGGCTTACATTTTTTAGTGGTAGAAAATTGTATATCTATAAGTAGGTATTAGTTTTTCACATAGTATGTTTAGAAAAAATAGTATTTTCAGTTTTCAAAGAGGTAAAAAGTCACATTTCTAACTTTGGGCCTCGTTTTCTCCAAATCTATAAGATTTGAGATAAGATTTTTTACCTCTAAGGTACAGATATGTATGTACTTCAGAGTATGTTTGTAGTGGCTGTAGGTACTTCTTATTTGACAAGGCAGCATTTTAACTATACATATATATACCTATAGATCCTTCGAAATAAAGATGAGATGCTTAATTATATTTAAAGTTGAGGAAAATAAAACTCTCATAAATTGGTTGCCTGTCTACCATTATTGGACAGACAGATGCACTTTTACCACTAGTGAACTGGTGTGCACTGTTCTACCTCTGTATAATCAATAATATCACTTATTCTATACCGTTCTTCTGTCGTCATTGTAGGAAAGTTAACATATTGTACACAAGCCAAAGAAATATAAGTTGGAAACTAAAAATGATAACAACTAAATTTGTTGAGTAATGTTGAAGTCAATAAAAAAAAAACATAACCTTAGAAATGAGAATATTGCTGGTGATGAAAAGACCAGTGTTTAAGATTAGGTCTTCTTTGGACATTTTATAGAGTTAGTATGTTGAATAGAGAGTGTGACTTCATCTAAGCAATGTCAGAAGTACTTTAAAGTACCTACCTAGTGCAATTTTTAAATAACTTTACATGAAACTTATAAAATACAATAATTGTTTTATTTACTGACATCATATTGACCCCACAAACGCTTTTTCCACTATAAAATATTTAATAAACCTGCAATTAATAAAAACAGTGACTCACCATATAAAACTGCTTCTTTGGGGCCTCTTTCATTCATAGAAGATGTAGCACTAAGAGCTGCCCTTGAAAATAAGGGTGTGTTGCATTCATAATCACTATAGTAATCTAAAACCAATTAATTTGTTACTAATAAATTGTTAAGTTAAAATAATTAATTCATATGACTCATTAGTTGACTAATATGTATGGTAACCTATAATATACTTAACATTTTTTGTTTAAATTTGTACTCTAAATACCAAATAAATTAATGAGTAAAAATAAAAAAATATAAATAATTTTTAAAACTTTCTCAAACTTTAATAAACAATTAAACTAGAACTAGGCGGGGTTAACCAAATTGAATTAACTTAATAATAGAATCTAAGGAATTAAAAATGTATAGTCCCTACCTGCTAAAACTAATTTTGTAGACGTTAATAAAATTAAACAAATATTTAACACCAGCATCATAATTCTAATATCATGTCACTTTTTCGAGAAGATTAGTCGTTACATTAACTAAAATCTACCATGTTTGCACAGAACACTTTATATGTTTGTTTGTGGTCAGCAGAGAGAAGACATTAACAGAGTGACAATTCTAATACAAATTTCTGGAAGCATGCTCCATGCGCGTTGACTGTGGCGACGCGCTTGGCAACGAGCGCGAACTAGATATTTACCGGTAATGCAGATTTTCTTTAATTTAAATTTAGGCGGCAGCATTGAAAAACTTAGCAATACGAATTTGTAACTTTGTACACAAACTCGATATTTTTTGCAAAATTGTAAAAAATATCGATTTAGGTACAATGTTACAAACTCATTTACTACAAATTTATATTTTGTAAAGGTAATGTCATTAAACAGAAGGTATTAAGTAAATGTACATAAAGAACACATTTTTTATTGCAGCAGTGACACAAAAAATCTAAAAAATCATTAAAATCACTCACAAAATACTGAAATAAAAAGAAAAATTCTATGGTTTCACAAAATAGTAAAAAAATCACTTAAGTCACTCACAGTAATTTTAAAAACCATTGCTTTTACTTTATTGGTCAAGAATATTTTGTCGCATAATTTTAAATAAACTGTTGGATATTTTAGTACCATTTAATATTCATAAATATAAGGAAGTATTTCAAGCTTTAAAAAAGAAAACATTCAGAAAACGCCAAAAGATAATATATGAATATGAGATTGCTATTTAAAACTATGATAACTTTAATATTATAATATTCATCTCTTTACGTTGTACCTAAAAAGTAACTCCAATTTTTAGTCGCCAGCACATAAAATTGCCGTAGCATCCTGACCTGCAGTGGATTATCATCTTTCAATACAGCATATTATGTTGAGACACCTATCTTCATCAACAGACTGCCATTCTTATGTAATGTTTTTATCTATTCAACACGTAACGTGTTAAGTTCGCACATATAAGAATCCATGTTCTGATCTATTCATTCTGAATTCCTTTTATCATAGCATCCATCCCCTCTTGTCTTGGGTTTGGACATGATTAAACTGAAATAAATACAGAAATTGGTTAGGCCACGTTGCATGGACTGATATATAGATAATAAGGATTTACACATAGTGTGAAGTATACAAAAAAACTACTTTATTAAAAATTTGTAGTAGAAATATATTTATTTCCTACCTTAATATATTCAATTCATGTAGTAAACACGATTAAATAAATTTCCAGAATTTTATTTAGTTATAGGTTATGTTAATTGTTGAAATTATGGAACAAGGTACAAACAAATAGCATTTATAAGACATTATACTGATTACGCTATTGGTTGAAATGTGACATGAACGATTGAAATATGATAATGACCAATTATAAGTGACTGTCATAGTTTATGGTCGTTGAGTAAGAACTACCTTCACGTAATTGTCACTAGTGTCAGTCGTTTATAGTTCAATGTTGAACCACCATGCGCGATGCGCAACGAGTGCCAAAAATCGGTCCAAAACGCGTAGACAAGTTTTGTATATGATTGAAACCATCTGCTATGTCTTATCTCTGGTGGTCAGTTCCAGTTCAGGGGGGTTATTTTCAAACTCGAGAGAAAGGAGTGCTCTATTGAGAGAAAGGAGTGCTCTATCGAGAGAAAGGTAGTATGTGACTTGGCCTTGTACACACATCGGTTATGGGTACACACATGGAGGAAGGGTACCCACGCCCCTAATCACGTGGTCAAATTCTCCTGAGAATATGAATTCTCTCGAAATAAACCGAGAGAAAAGGTCAGTGAGTAGTCACTGGTTTTCAAAATACAGTTTCCACGTTGACATATGACATTTCTCCTGAAATCTTGAGAGAAATGAGTACTCACACGGTTTGAAAATAGGTCCCCCGTAGTTCAGTTTCAGACGTTTCAGTTTCAGTGTTGTCAAATGACTGACCCATGGAGGAAGGATAATTAAGAGTTGCCGTTTCTTTGAAGAAATATGGCAACAGGTTTGCTTGCAGCGCCGCCGGTAAGGGATTTGTCCAACTATTTCTCAGTCGGTAATATAGATACCTGCATATTTTATTTTATTTAAAAATTAGCGGGATTTTGTTTGTAGCTCTACTTTAATCTCAGATAAATAAATAATAATAGATAACTGAATGTCAAAAATTTACATTGCGTTTGTTTGAAAGCAACATATACAAGCCAGTTGTTAGGAGGGGAAGAGCGGGGTTTGTTAGTTTTATTATCCAGTAGCGTATCAAATAAATGTCAATAGAAATGCTTTTGATTTATATTATTTTATTAGTTTTGAGATATTTCAATAATTCAATGTTTCTAATATGAGATGTTTATAGAAAACCGTCAAAAATGAATTTTTCAGTCGACCAATACATATATTTTTTAAATTAAAAACATACATTATTTTTATACACAAATAATTTGAATAAACGTTGCAATGATAGGTTTTATAAATTCTAAATTTTTGTACTATTTTTTAATAATAACTATCGATTCTTTTGTAAATTATTTTTATTGAGTTGTTATGAGTACCACTTATATATGTAATAAAAAATAGAATAAAGTATCTGTTTATTGTTAGTCCCTTTTAAGTTAATTAAATTTTGTGCACAAAATATTTATGGTTTTTAATAATTGGGAAAGTAGGGTTAAAAAAACAATTTTTATAATAGGTATGTAATTCATTTTATTAATGCTGCGTTTGAGAATCCACATCGGATGCATTTTTTACATCTCGAGCGTTTTTTTATCCACATCGGACACATCTGTCCCATTACATTTACGTATACTGAATCACGTGATCAAAGATTTTTTACATCTCAGATGCATCCGATGTGGATTCTCAAACGCAGCATAAATAGTTGGGTTAGATCTGGAAAAAAAAACAAAGACAAATGTTATAATAACAGTTTAGAATAAAGCGATACTTATGTAATAAATGATAAGTTCATAATTACCGTTTTAAAATATTGCCAAGGTTTTCTAATACACAATATTTTGAATAATAAAACTTAATTTCGATGAATTCTTGTCAGTTAGAAATAGAACAACGTTAAGCAATTTTTTAGGGACGTTGTGTTATTGTACTCATTTGGTTTAATAACAATTAATAATGGATAATGGGGTGATTATAATAATAATAATTTAGTTGCCAACAATTTTCCTTTCACATAATTTTTAAATCAAATAATTATGTGACAGAGGTACCTAGATAACTAAAACTAATATTCATTAACTACAGATAAATAAAACCCAACAATTTTCCTACCACACAATTTACAAATTAAATTAATTATGAGACGTGATAATAAGTAAATATAATATACATTCACTTGAGATGTTGTTGGGAATGGGGTGTTAATACACTGCGATCTAAAAGATCTATTGTGCCCCTTCTGTCGCTAATGCACCAAGGAAATGTCTCAATGCCTATAACGACCCTTCCAATCCTATCTTCCCAAGGAAGTGTAGGATTTGGAGTGGCTTCGTGTTAGGTAAATCTCTCTCTCTTTTCTATTTCATATCCTCTTACTAGGTATAGTGCCCTTGGATTCTAGAGTACTACACATTCAGTTAGAATGTGAATGGAGGTTTCGTCCTCCTCCTCACAGAATCTGCACTCACTATCCTCTACTACTCTCAGTTTACTAAGGTGTCCTTTAAGTCGGTAATGCCCGGTAAGGATCCCTGTTACAATACGAAGCCTGTTCTCGCTCAGGCAGATGCAGGCTGTGATGTATGCCTTATTTATACACTACTCAATAAAACAACACCTTGTAAGCTTTTATTCTCTAGTATTCTGATAAACACAGTAGGTAATTCAGTAATGGTTATAATACTAGACAAAACTCAAGATGAAATACGAACTGGTAATACGAGACAATGCGCATCTGACTCTTATTTAGTACTCGTGGCGGCATCTACGTACGATCTATAATCCTACGGGGTCACAGACTACAGATGACTGTGATATAAGGAGAAACACTTATATGAAGCTGAAACATAGATGGCGTCACGAGTACTAACATTACCATTTATAAATGGGTATGCAGATCTCATACAGGCTTCCGATATTCCGATGTTTCATGCCATGGTTTCCTGGTTATATTCACGTATCTTAGCGTGTCTTAGGGCCCTATTCAGTAATTTATCGTTTATGGACGACATCGTTAAGCTAACGACAGTTCAACCAACGACTTTTATAACGATAATTTTTGAAACTCTATTCAATAACAAAGTCGTTACGTTGTTTCTAGTTACCAAATCTGAACGATGATTTCTAGTAAGTTGGTATTATAATTTAGTGTTTTGTGATAAAAGAACGTATGTTGATGATTGTACCGGGTGTTTAAATTAAAGTTTTACAGTTAAATATCGCCGAAAATATTCATTTTATAAAAAAAAGTATCAGACAAAAGTTTTATAGTTTTTTAGGGGAAACATTTTGGCTAAATTAATTTTTTTATAGCTGACCATAATATGGCCATATCGAGGTGGATTTTTTTTTTTTTTTTAATTGGAACCCAATTTTTTCATAAAATAATAAGAAACTTCTAAAGGAAACATTTTTTTATTGGATTTCTACTTATTGAGTAACACCCAAAAAAACTATAAAACTTTGTTTTTTTTTATAAAAGGAGGTATTTAACTGTAACCCTTTAATTTAAACACTCGGTATATTTGAGATTTTTTTGGAACGTAAAATAAAAATTCTACCAGTAGATATATTCATTTGTTTTTCAGAATATATTAATTATTGTTCTTAACCTACAACACGATCAGGGGGTCGATTCTCGATTCGTAGGAATTCTTGTTTCTCGCAGGCCATTTTTGCTGGTCGTATTGTATGTAGGGTTTATTTAAATGAGTATGGATATATTAAAAAAAAAAACAGAACTATTCCAAAAGAATACAAAAAACAACTCGAGAACAATACAAGTTGTATTTTTGATTGTATTTGAAAGACAGACCAAATTTGTGTAGGTTACGGAGAAGTATTATAGGTACTTCCGTAATATAGGTTTTGTTACTGTTTCGCAGTGCTACTTTAGGAACAGCACTGTTAATAGGAATCCAATAGTAAATGGTTGAATGGGCAATCCTAACTTTGAATCCGATTTATTTTTAAAATAATTAAATAAATTAGAAAAAAATTCCTTACAAATTGTACTTGCTGTATTAGGTATTAGATGGC